GAAATTCCCGGCATACGGTGCAGCGGGTGGCGAAGCCGACATTCCATAGGCCAGATCAGCCACGGATCTCTGGAGTCACCTATCATTCCCATCATTCAAATGTGGTGGGCTCACGACCTGATACAACTGGGGGGTCCAGACCGGGTGCGCGACAGGCGACCTGGGTGGATGCGATACATCGACATTGGTCTCGCTTTGCAGAGTGTCCTTGATCTGATGTGTCCGTCATAACCACAATCTCCTCCGAATTCTGCGTCATGATAAGTCCACTGTACTGAACGGTGACTGACGGATCAGATACTATCTTGTCTCAGCAAGGGGGAACACTAGCTATTCTGTATCAACTCTCTGAACCTTGAAAAGGAAAACAAGTAGCGTTTCAGCCCAAATGGATCAAACACAGATGTAGCCGAACAACTGTACTCTACTGCTGACCATTGTTGCCCGAAATCACTGCCCCCAAAATACTGAATCGGTATACCCACAGATATAACTGATTCTCATAAACTGATACTGGTGCCCTCAGGTCTGATACTCAAACTTGCAAACTGATATGTACGTTCCCTGTAGAGATGCACTCTAAAAGCACATAGCAAGTAAAGAGAGCCAAAACACCCCTAAGTTGGGATAGGGTTTCCCTGTCCTATTTTGTCAGGAGCTAGGGTTTCACTATGCACGCAGCAGTTTTCAAACAACCTAACATCGGGTAAGCAACCTGTCCTAGTTTGGAATGGTCACTATGGATTTCGATATGCACTAGGTCGAATGGTCGAAAAAGGGTGCCCCGATAAAACTGGGGTTGTGTTCCCATACTGTCAGAGCCCACAACCGGTCAGCCTTATGGCATGCTTTGACAAAGTCAAGCCTCCGGCAAACCATTCAGGGAATGGCAGATGGCAAACACGGTGTCCTAGGCGCACCAATGCACATGCAATGCAAAGAGACACATAAATGAAATCAAAACAGGATATCACAAGTTCGAGTCAAGCTCTCTAACTCCCAGCAGAGTCGCCAGAAACTGTAGACGTCCCCGAACGCCCCGGGAGGATGAGTCCCCCCCCCCGGTTCTGTTCATTTGTGGATCTACTACAGTTCAGGACTCTCAAATTGTCATGGTTCTTAATCTGAACCAAAGAGTCCAAATCCGGCAAATCGTTTTGAGAAAAACAGATTTTTAGAAAAGAAGTGCGAAACATGGACTGCTTTGCCAGATACAGAGTCGCCACCTAAATATTTTTTAAGGGGGAATTTAGGAAACCCTGACTCGGTGCCAAAGGCCGCGTGTCCGTCATCACCAAAGTTGCCTCGGCTCGGGAGCTTGGGTACGATTGGAGAAGGTCAGCTATGAGCACCCCCTCTCGCCCGATCCATAGATCGGCCTCTACTAACCATGATATCCAGTTTTGAAAACGTTATGTGTTCTTATTCCATTTATTAGCCTAAAATTACTATGCTATGCGCGCAGCAAACAAGTATAAACCAAATTGCCTAAATTGGAACAAAACATTGCATATCCGTTTGTTTGGAAAACGCTTTGGAATTTGCTACTCACAAGTAGGCTAAAATACGGATTTCAACGAGTTATCCCAACTCAAACAATCCAACCTTCACCCACGGGCATTCAAGCAGTTTATATCATATAAGTATCTAGCCTCATGGTAATCATGCTATCATGTTAACGTTCACACTCATGTGAGATGCTAAAGCATAAAGAGCTCACCTAGTACTCCGTGCCAAAACAAGAACATGTTAGCAATCATACAGATAAGAATCTCAAGTTACAGTCATGTATCTGGTAACCGGTAGTGCATGGAGCAAGGGAAACATGGATTGTGGATAAAAAGAATCCGATGCTGTTGACCTGAGTTTTTTCACCAAATTTGAGCACTCAATCCAATAAAGTGCTAAATTCCAGGCTTCCTCAAATAAGGTAGGACATTAATTGCCAATTTCGGCTGCAAATCACTGGCAAGCTCGACTTATTACATATATAAATGAAACCGAACTAAAATTTTAAGCCCATTCACTAAAATTTTAATCACGTTCAATGTACAAGTTGAACTCAAGCTAAAATAAACTCAATTTGTTTATTGTTTACATATTAATTAATGTGAAATGTATTATATATGCATATTCATTATACAAGCTAACCAAGCTTGATTAGCGAGCTAAATTTTTTTTTTTCTTTTTTTGTGGCCATTATCAAACTTCAAGTCGAGCTTGAGTAAAAATAGTATTAACGAGTCAAGCCGAGCTTGAGCTAGATTAATTTCCAAGCTCAATAAAATAAACAAGCCGAGTTTGAACTCTACAATACTAAGCTTGTTTGTAGCCCTATTGCCAATGCCCCCATGTCATGACCTGAATCCGTTTCTAAAAGTTTGGGTCATAACCGACCAGTAATTCATGGATTACCGAAGGTCTCAAACGGACATACAAAATATTTATATTAATGGGGCCATAACGAAAGCATACAATGAGAAGGAGTCCACTGAGTTGTGCCAATCATGAGCAAGATCATAGAGATGATTGCGTAACACATTAATACATTTAACAGCCCAACAAAAATATAGGAGGGAAAAAGGTTAAGACTCCCTTTTTCTTTGATCCCCACCACTCCTAATGTATTGGGATTGGCCAACTTTTTGCTTTTTGTTTTGTTTTATTTTGTTTTTTCTCCTATCACTCACTGGCATGTGTTTGTGGGGGTTGTGGGAGTTAAGGGAAAAGGGAGTCTCTATCATTTCTGATATAGAAGCCAAAGGAAAAATTATACATAGTGTTTACAACCCAAGACCATGAAAGCAAAAGCAAAATAAGATCAAGGTGTGGTGTGAGTCAAGACAAAACTCCATCTTAGAGGTGGACTCGATTGGGTCTCAAAAATAACAGCTTCTAAAGCTGACTCTGGGAGTGTGCTCCATACTACGGATTACCTACATGTGTATACATAATATTGGGTGAGCGAAGTTCAATGAGTAATAATATAATAAACCACGTAATAATCATAAGATTCTCACAAAATCCACAATCATGTAAACAAAACGGCCTTAGGTCTAATCATATATCAAAACGGCCTCGAGCCCAACATTTATCAAAATGGCCTCAGGCCCAATTTGCACATATCAAAACGGCCTCGGGCCCAATTTGCACATATCAAAATGACCTCGGGCCTAACATTTATCAAAATGGCATCGGGTCCAATCATATATCAAAACGGCCTCGGGGCCAACATTTATGTATGTATGGACCCAAGAGGTGACTCATATGAACTCTAGAGGTGACTCCCACTGTAGCACTTAGTTCCATACGACACTTTGTTCCATACCAGAAATCAATAGGTTTTAAAGACTGAACAATTCATATCATGTCATAACATAAACAGAACGGATAAACAGAACGACCTTAGGCCCACCATATCAGATTATAAACAATTCACATTTCTTGTTCATAACTCATTTCACATTTCTTGGAAACTTGTGCATTTTGACAAAATACGATATTAAAAGATCATGTCGTACATAAATCAAAATAGATAATAAAAAAACATATCTTTACTATACTATTACTCATAGTGGTTTCCAGAAATGGTTGACCGGTCCTCAAATCATGACCTACAAACACAATGCGCATGACACAACATATCGGAACATAGAATTACTTTCTTGATCAAATTTACTTCTCTTAATCTTTTCTTAACCAAATAAATCAATCCCCTTACTTGCTCCTTAAACAATTATTTTTGTTGGTTATAAACTCATTAGTCCTCGATGGATCATAATTCGTGTCTAGGAAAATAGGAAGAAACGGAAGAAAATTGGGTTAGGAGAGGAAATAGCATGAAACAATTAGAAAGAAAGTGAACAGCGTTCACTAATTTGAACATATCTATTTGTGTACTTAGAATTTGGATGTGAGACCACCACTACCGGAAACTAGACTTCTGGGGCTTGAATTTAGGCTCAAGAATCGTCTAAAACGGAGTCCGAATGAGGGAGATATGCCTTTTTGAAGTTACTAGGTATAAGCTGAAACAGGGTTAGCCGCACGTGCGCCCACTTTAACCGCTCGTGCAGTGACTGGGCCGCTCGAGCGGTGGTTTAAGCAGAATGCAAACCTCTATTTTTTATCATGTTCCGCTCGTGCGGAGCCCGTGCCCGCTTGTGCAATCTAGGCAAAATCAGACAATCCGAAAATGGCCAAAAATGTAACCCTTCCAAACTCCAATGAAAGCAAAACTCACTTAAAAACATGATACATAAGCATGATACAAGTGTAATTCCACATTAAACTTATCAATCTTGCATCAACATCAAACTTATCAATCTTGCATCAACATCAACTTCATGGTCTCATCTTTTCCATACTATCATGAATTTCATATACAAGCTCAAAATACATATATCTATGAATGATCTTCCAACAAATCTTGTTTGTATGAACCATCAAGAGTTTATTTCATAGATTAATCACAAGATTGAACTCAAATCAAACAAAATGAAGAGATTTCTTGATTTTATTCCAAACCTTACACAACTCAAACCCTAGCTCAAAATTCCCAATTTATTCTTGATTTCATGCCAAAGATGAGTTAGAGACAAATATTATAAGTAGATTATCATACCTTAACTCAAGTCTAAGGTTTGCCCTTTGATTCTCTTCCAAAACCCTGGCTCTTGTTCTTCCTCTCTCTCTCTCTAACTCACTCTAAAAAACTCTCCCCCAAAATGAAGAAAACAAGAAGCCAAACACAAATAAAGCTTAACTCACAAATTTTGATTTAATCATTACGAATCGAAATTTTACAAAATTTCAATGTAGGCTTTAAAAATCATGCTAATCACAGATATGAAGTCAATTTTGGTTTATCACGCCTCTAAGGCTATCAATTTTCCGCTCAAAGTGGTGCTTGTAACAAATATTTCTATCAAGTTCCAAAATCACAAAATTCACATACTTAAACTTGCAAATTCATATCAAACACATAATCTCATGCATAATTAAACGTAATACAGGTTGGCTTATCACACCCCATTTGAAAAATTAGAAATCAATTACAAGTTCATAATCCCAACACACCTAAAAAAAGGGTTAGCTAGTGCAACTACAGAGGCCATGAAGTTTTACTTTCTGTAATTGTATTCCTTTTCTATTGTATATTTCACAAAATCTAGGTTCCATCAGTTTAAAAACAAAATAGAAGCTTTATAACAAGAAAACAAAAAGATATTAAAAAAAAAATTAAACAACAAAAAAGGGGGGGGGGGGCGGGGAAGAAAGCTGTAGTTTTTGAAATACTAGTAAGATCTTGAGGTCAAGAAGGCAGGACCACCCAGATGCCATTTGTTGGAAATGAACGTCTGCTTGATCATTCCAAGGTAGTCCCTTGAAAGAAACTTGTCCACTGTTGTGGTGGACCAGATACCAGATTACAAACAAATCCGGAGATGGGTTAATAGAGAGTATTTTATGACCTGCTGGAGCTTGGAAAGGTGTTGGGGTCTGCAGGAGGGTTGACGGCAAGATTAGCTTTCTGTTGCTGGAGGACATATATCTGTTCGAGCCCTTGCTGATGGATACTCGACAATGTGTCTAGTTCCTTCATTGACAGGTCTTCCAAGCCAACACCATACAGAGGAGCATGTTGTGACATCTCCTCTCTAAGGGAAACCTCAAGAGAATGGATATGTTTCTGCGTAACACAGGCATCATTTAATCAAGGCACAATTTATTTCGATACAGAAATAATCATAATCATACGCATAACACCACGTGCATCGGTTTGTTGGTTTGCCCCTACTGAATCATGGCTCTTTGCCATACTATATTGCAAAAATGCTGTCCTAAATTGTGCTCCAGACCATGAAAAAAATTGTTTCTCATATTTTGGGGTGCAAGCACCCTATTCTCCAAAGAAGAAAGAATTATCATTTGATTTCAGTTATAGATGATTAATTATCCAATGGGTAGTTTCCACCATTTTGAGGATCACTTGGAGTTACTTTGAACAACAATTAAATTTACAGATTGGAAGAAAAGAATTTATATTCAACTTCTGAGTATAAATGAAGAACTAGAAAATCTATAGTTTCTACCATTTGGTGATGACTTAGAAGTTCCTCTGAAGATCAAATATATGTACACATTGGAAAACAACTCGTACAAGAGTACGCCATGTGAATTGCAAACAAAGATAGTTCATGGTCCTGGGGCATGCTCGCAACTATGTGCATGATGTAAGAAAACCAAATACATGTTAAGAGAAGATCCAACAATTTTTATTATATTCTCCACTTACACATTAAGGAAGAGGTCATGTCACATTCCATGTGTGTTGCAAGCAAACCAAGGCCTCAACTCTCAATGGCTTTAGATCTCCAAAACAGGTTATTATGGCAAAAAAAGGGATGAGGGAGAAGAACCCCAAGGCATGATGTTAGTCACATTGAAAAGTTCTTTAGGAGAAGTGCTGTTATGTAATTATAGCATTATAAGACGGACACAAATCACATAGTTTTGTGATGCTGCAACTTTTTCAATATGAAAAATGAAGGGTTTTGATTTTTGAGAGATATCTCAGCAGGATTTGGATTGAATAAAGAGGCAACAAAACTGTATCTTGTGGTATGTTGCATGAACCTTTTTCTGTTCATTTTTCACTAGAAAAATTCAGATGAAAAAGAATAAAAAGAAAACAAAAGAAAAGAAAAGAAGAAAAGGACAAGATAAGATATGGAAGAATCTATGGCACCAAAGTCATTCATGCTATCAGAAAAGCAGAAGCAAATATGAACCGCCCAAAAAGAACAAAAAAAGTGGCATTGTTCCAACTTCCAGTAAACAGCTGCTTTATAACTTAAATAAATGTAAACCGTCTCATCCCTACTGAAGAACTATCTGAATGGTTGTCCCATTGTTAAAGAGGAAGAATTCATTGGCCAGCTTGTCTGTTGCATATAGTGGCACGGTGGCACTCATCTAAGGCTAGAATGGCAAGGCTCGAAAGAACAGTGGCTTGTAATTGAGAACCCAAGGTAGGATATTCAACCTCTCATTAATGTATTCAAGTTAGTTCTTGCATGGTTCTTGATTTATGGAAGAATTGAGTCTTGATTTAGTCTAATAATGTTGAATTAGAGCTTAATCCATGCATGCATGTGCATGGTCTTGCATTTTGAGGTTGTTCTTCATGAAATTCCACATGCATGTTCATATCTTGAGCTTAGTCCATGAATTCATCTTGTTTTTGAGGCAATTGAACTCATTTGAGTAAGTAATTGAAGCTTTGAATTTGATTGAACACATGCATGTTACATTTGAAGTATGTTCTTGAAGTTTGGTTTGAAATTGGGTTTAATTGACTCACCTTTGGGCCTTGATTTTACAAATTGAGCTTTGAATCATGTTATATTGTGAGTTTTAAAGTGTTTTCCAGAAAATTAGCCCAAAAGGATCGAATTTGGTATATTGAAACTTGATTTTGAGCTTGAGGTTCAAATCTGGGAATTCCAGATTTTGGACTCCCGCTCGAGCAGGGTAAGTGGCGCTCGAGTGGGAAATTCGTGTATCTAGCACTTTTGTTGTGTTTACAGTCCGCTTGAGCCAGGTTTTGCATGCTCGAGCGAGGACTTGTGTCACACACTCGAGCGGGTGTCGAGCGCCCATCGAGCGTGATTTTCACACATCCAGTACTTTTGCAGTCCGCTCGAGCGGGAAAGTTTACGCTTGAGCGTAGCCTTTTGTTTGCATGTCCGCTCGAGCGGGGGAAACCCATGCTCGAGCGGGACCTCTGTTTTCTGAAAATTCTGAAAATATTTTTAAAGTGCATGTTTGCATCCTCATTCCATTCTAGGTATTCTTAGGCCTAGTTTAAGGCATCTTAATGAGGATATTGACGTAGAACCACACCGAGGCAAATTAGGGATTAAGTTATTATTTCCCAACTGTGTAGCTTAGTGTGTGTTCACTCTGTAACTGTGTAGGGTTAGCATCCAAAGACGCTCTAGCTTATCTGTAGCCCAGAACTCTGTGAGTAACAATGTTGTAAAGATATGTTCAATAATGATTATCTTCTGAACAATTGAACTGTACTGTTTTCTGAAATGATACTGTTACTGAATGAATGTTTGTCCTATTTGTGAACTGTATTCATGGTGTCCATAGCAATTTACTGTTACTGTACTATACTGCTACTATCACAGAGATCTCTGTCGGTTTCCATGTTTGGAACCACTACTATTTACTGATATGATGGCCATCAACTGACTGTTCGGTCTGTTAAGACCTACTGTACTGTTTTGCTATTGGATGTACCACATATGACTATTATAGTTTCTGACTAACTGTTATGGCATGAAATATGAGCCACAAACTGAATGACTGATATACTGATAAATGACTGTTTTCAATACTGAAAGGGCATTCATTCTTAACCTCTTTACGTATATGTTATTCACTGGGCTTTAGCTCACTGCTCATATATATATGTAGGTGTACAGGCATCGGATCGAAGCTAGGAGCGTTGGGTTAAACTCCCTTTTGTCAAGCCAACCTTTGTGCCTCACTTCGAGGTTCTAGAACTGTTCAAGCTAAGGCTGCTTGGGGTGTTTTAGTTTTCCCCCTTTGTATACGTTCTGTATAGACTGAATGATGTTGTACTGTACTATTCTAATAGGGATTAAGTCCCTGTCCTGAATGATTGTATATATTGTACATACTGTTTGGTACTGATTGTATATGCGTCTTGAAAAGTCTTTTTGCATACAAACTGTCATAGCTCAATGGACACCTTTTAATTACTGTTTTGGCTTCCGCCAGCCCCTGTACTCTGTATTACTATATTACTGTTAAGCAGGCCTTCGATAATCTCGGATTGCTGGCCGGTTACGGTACTAAACCAGTAGAAGCGGGTTGGGGTCGTGACAGGGAGGCCGTGATGTCACCACTTGGGTATGTAACCTTGGTGTGTGAGCATCATTGGTAATTGTGTGATAAGGGATGCACTGGTGGTTATGCGGTAAGCGACACCTTGGTATTGTATTAACCAAGTGAGAATCAGAATTGCCCGTGGCCAGTGTTAGTGGTTGGGTAGGAACGACATTCCGCGAGGAGTTGCCTAGAACTAACTTAATTGACTGTTATTCTTGAGAACAAAAATTTAATTATAAGCTCTGCTTAATTATTGCTTTCACTGTATGTTATGACCGTGCCGTTATTTTATTTGTGTATTTGGAATGGGAAAAGGGATGGGGTGTGTGTGTTTACTGGGCATTCCAAGCTCATGGCATTATATGTCAGGTGAAGGCGAGTTTTACACTGAGAACAGAATTCCGAAAAGCTTTGAGGAACCATGGCTACCCTAGAGATTAGATTTTAAATTTCCTGTATTTTGGATAATCTTTTTGTATCAAGAAACTGAAATGTATTTAATGATTTGAAGAATTTTATCTGTAACTATTATTAATATTTTCTTTTAGTGTAATTATTTATATTTTGTGCTTAATTATTTGTATAATGTTGTGTAGTCGCTAGTTAATCCCCGCTACATTGTTGTATTATATTACCGATGTTCCCAAAATTTGAGGCGTTACAACTTGGTATCAGAGCTTCTGTTCAATCCTTACCCACACATTTCGACTTGCGATTAGAAAGAACCTTGGCACCAAATATATTATATTATGATAATAGTACTTATTTTGGAAGCTAAAAGGCGTCAAAACTAAACATTTTCTTGACCAACCTTAGGACTTTTCTTCGAATTTTGGGCATGGCAATGTCGATTGGTGAAAGTATATAGTTATGAGTCGATGATTCCAGTATTTGTACTGGGCGATGAAGAAAGCCTTTTAGATAAGGGCAGTGGAACTAGAATTTCATAATGAAGAAATGTTAAGTTCAATCAGCGAACTGAAACATGTAGTTGCCCCAAAGCAACCGAGAGTGGTGATGGAGTCGATGGTTGAGTAAGACTACTTTATGTGCTTATTAGGCGTTACTTGGATTGTGTTTGATTAGAGCATTTCACCTTAGTAATTTCCTTGACTAACCGCATTAACAAAACCCTAAGTTGACTAACCACAATAGCAAAACCCTAACATGCACTTAACTGCGCATTTGGCAGATGGTGAACCATATATGTAACAACCCACATTCATGTCTTAGTCATGCTTGCATGCATTTATATGTTTTGCCATGTTAAGTTGCATTGCCAATCTTGCCTTGTTCTGCTTAAGTGTGTTGCATGCTTTGTTCCTTCTTTGTTGACCCCAAGCCTAAGTCATGCCAAGCCTAAGTCGTGTTAAGCCTAGGTTAATCCAAGCCGAGGTCACCTTAAGCCTAGAACTATCTTGGAACCATTTCGGTTGACCTCCACCTCTGCCTTAACATGTTGGTCGAGATGTCATCATCTAGGCCGAGGTGTGTATCACCAAGGCCGAGATGTGTATTATCTAGACCGAGATGTTACCTTTACGCCTAAGTGATCTTGTTCCTGGATTGGTACGACCTAGACCGAGGTGTGGCACATCTAGGCCGAGGTGTGGCACAGCTAGGCCAAGTGTTGTCCTTCCTAGCCGAGATCATTGTTCCCTTACTTGCCGGAGTGCCTTGCCGCCTAGCTTGTTGAATACACTTTGTCATAGTCTTGTCTTTTCACTCAGTCACCTTTTTTAGGAGAACCAACCCGGTAGTGCCACGTATCCCAGCTGAGTGTTAAGTCATCCGGTAGACCTAGAAATGTATCATTTGCTATATGTCTTTCTTATTGAGGAGAGAGAAGCTCTAGAAGAATAAGAAGTCTTTAGAGAGAGAAGTAGATCCCAAGCTTGATCCTTAGAGTTGAGCCGTTAGATCCGTGCTTTGAGGTTAGATTCTTGATCTATTCTTGTCGTTCTTATTGATCATCTAGCTGCATTGCATGATCGAGCATGATTTGTAAGCCATGCATTGCCTTGAAGTTCGGTTTTAGAAAGAGAATATGATATTCATGTGTTCTTGAGGAAAAGCCATGATTTGATCTGAAAGCTTGCATTAAGATCCATGTTTTTGTGTTTGTTTTCCCAAGATCTTCAAGTATGGGTACCCAGGTCCATGTTTTCGAACCCATAGCATGAAATCCCAGATTTTGTATAAACAAGTCATGATTTTAGCATTCATGTTCTTTATGTTCTTCAAGTTCTTCATGCTGATGTTCTTCATGTTCATCAAAGGAGAAAACCCAGATTTTCCCGATTTCATTTCCCTGTATGTGGCCATCGGGACCACACCTCGGCAAGGAGGTGTGGAACCTCGGCAAAGACCTGGTTAGTACCCAGCATGTCTTCTTGACATGTAAAGCAGTGTTTTAACTCCCAGCATGTTTTCCTGAGATCATTTGCATGCATGTAAGACTTGTTTTGAGAAGTGCATTCAGTAGACTTTGCCATGTGTTTGTAGGACTTGGACCTTTGCTTTGATCCTGACGTCCCAAGAACTAAGTGAGTGGTATTTTTAATAAAGCTATGTTATCATGTTTTGATAAGCTTTGCTTTGCTTTGTTTTGAAAAGTATTTGATCAAGCATGAATGATTATCCCTATTTTGTGTACCAAGTATAAGTTTTGTGTATCAAGTATAAGCTTTGTTTTGGATGACATTCTCGGAAGTCCATACGTGCTAGGGGACTTTAAGCTTTTGTAGCACAAGTCATTGACGGTCTATGAACGGATGACTCCGTCCTTCCATGCTAGGGGACGTTAAGACCAGGTAGCATAGTCCGTACGTGCCAGGGGACTTTAAGCATTTGTGGCACAAGTCCTCCCATGCTAGGGGACTCTAAGCCTAAGTAGCATCATGTTTGTAAGGTCTTGGCCATCGACGGTTTATGAACGGATGGTCCCACCGACGCTCTATGAACGGGTGGATTATTTTGTCTGGAATGTCATCACCCCAAGTATATGTTGATGTTTTAACATCCAAGAAGCTTTGAAAGA